TGACCCTACTGACAGAATGACCATCATTTCTAGTTTTACTGACTCTATACTAATCGCTACTCAGGGAGTCCCATGGAACACACTCACTTGAAGTAATTCGCTTAATGAAGCCCTGGCTATGACTGCCAAACCCTAGTCTCGCCAGTACTTGCAGACACTCTTCCACAGCTTCCCACGTATAGAATCTCCTGAAACTTGTTGATCCGCTCCAGTATGATGTGGCGATTCAGCCCCACCTCTCAGATTCCCTGAATTTGGCTCAGTGGCGAGAGAAAAACCTCTTGAAGATATCTCGCCACTGCAAGGTATATGCTGCTGGTGCTAAATTTAGCCCTGAGTAGGGTTAATTTAGCAGGAGGTGATCCTGCTATCAATCCTCCCTCAGCGCTGTACTGGGATTGAGGCCGCCACCCAGTTATCACTGGATTAAGGTGTAATTCGCCACCCCGATCCCAGTCATCAACTGAGGTCAGAAGGTGGATGGCGAAATACCCCTGTTCTCGCCACTTCCTGTCAGGCACACAGACAGGCTTAGGGTGCCTGATCAATCGCACACTGATACTTTGGAATCACCGCTTGTAAATCTTCTCCTCCACTAGATCTTTACTGAAGATGAAGAACCACCATGGCACTTCTTGCCAGTTAGGGCCAGAAGGAGAAACTGCCCCTGTTGCGCTCAACCCTCTGAGCTCCAAGTCCAATCTTCGCTCCGATACCAACTGTTATGAACTTGGTTGTCTGACAATTTTCTTGCCACTCGCACACAAAAGATCTCACACATGCCCATACATGCACAAGACACAGGGGGAGGAGAGACAGAGTCCACACTGCACACAGACCAGAGATAAGCAGCGGAATAGCAACCATGCACAGATGGGGAGAATATACAGTGTTTCTCTCTCTCTTACAAACTCCCAACAACCAATCACAAGATGACACTGCGAAGATCACAATCGGAAAATAACACAGATGATGAGCCAACTCGACACAATTAACCCAATTATCGTTACAGAGTTTAACCCAGTGTCTTGCCACCTCAGTGTCACACACCACACCCACTATCCCACTCTCAGAGTCCAGCGATACACTGAAACAGCCTCCATGAGGCCAGCGCCAACCCCCAAGATGCAGATTATGAACTGCGATGTAGTCCTCAGTGCCGATGAGTCAGGAAAATCGAGAAGGGATGAGTGGGGAGAGAGAGAGCCTGAGACAGAGAGAGAAGATAAGAGAAGAGAAGCAAGAGAGCCGAGAGGAGGGGAGCGAAGGAAGAGAAAGGAGAGGAGGCAGGGGAGATGACAGCGGGAGGACTGCAGCCGAAGCGAGAACGCAGGACACCATAAATGCCCAAACCACCGCCACCTTCCTTACCTCCCTCATGCTGACATGTCATCTATTATTCGCGCTCATTAAGGCTTGCCCTAACCCTCGCTTCGAAAACGAAACAAACCATGTCACGACCGCTTACACCTTGCAAAAACTTCAACTGAGTACACTTGTAAGAAACTCGATCCCGCTCTGCTTGCTCCTTCTCTCACTCACTCCAGCGGCGTAGCTCTGGTCTCCCTTCCTCCTTGCTACTCCACCAGTGTTTCTGCATTCCCACGTGTGTCCAACAAATGACACAGTCTCTCCTTTTATAGTGGAGAGGCTGGGTGATTGGGCCCAAGTGCTGCAGCCTCATGCTTGAGGCTGGTGCCGGTCCTGTTCTAAAATTAACATAGGATTTAAGTCAGGCCTGCACTAAAAATAAACCTGGCCCGATCTTGGAATACGAACACTCATTCCCATGCTAAAATTAGCATGCGCCCACGTTAAAAATAGCGTGGAACTAGGACAGGCCCGTTCTAGAATACGAAGAGTCAGTCCTGTTCTAAAAATAAACGGTCCACGCGCTAAAGGACCAACTGCCCGCGGGTTGCACAAGCGCCTTCACAGTAGTTACTGAACAACGTGCGTTTAGGGCATCAGGCCTCGCCGTGCACGCATTACCTTGAACCTGCACCCTCAGCCTCAAGAACAAAGTCTCGTAACCACTACAACCCTTCGAGGCGCTATTAAAACTGGATCCATACTGGTCCTGATATCCAACTACAAACCTTTGAGGTGCTATTAAAACTGGATCCATACCGGTCCTGATATCCAGCCCACCTCCAGGGCTGTGGCGTCCTTTAACTCACACCACACACACAACACCACACCACGGACACGGCAATCAACACACTCCGCTCGGAAAACACGCAGCCCAACCACCGCTGCTTAACCTGGTGGGCCGACCCTGGAATACGAGGGGTTGGTCCCATTCTAAGAATATACCGGACCCCTTCTCAAGTATTATGAGGGCTTAAACTCACGTTTCCTTGGCTGTTTTGGGCAGTGCTTTCCCCGACACGGCTATACGGCTGCATTGGTCCGGATCCAAATGGTCAACCCGAACTTTCTCACTAACCCTTGGTCCGTTTTCAGTGCCGTTTGGACCGGTCTCCACTAATTTGGCCCTTGCAGTCGTGATGGTCCAGCCCAAAGGTCGTGATCCGACCTCCAGAAGGCTGTGCCATCGCACCGTCTTCACCGTTGAGTCGAACTGAAGGAAACCCACCACCGTGTTGAACCTAACCAATCGGATCCACCAACGTCCCTTGGCGCAGTTTGGCATAGCATGGAGGCCGACCACAACGGGTCAACTTCCGTTGACGCGTCACGTCTGCCTCCGACAACGCATGCCAATTAGTAATCGGTTATTTTCAGATGGATGATCGTTGTGGAAAGAGGAAAAATTTGTGATTCTAGACTGCCTATTCTGCACCATGTTGCCCTGCGTCAGCATGAAGAACAATCCATCATGCAAGAAGCCACCAACAATGCTCATCAACTATTACCTCTTCGCTTCATTTGCTTCTTCCTCCATCTACCACTCTCGACTCTCCTCCTCTTATGAATCTTAGTCGTTGTGTTGGAGCGTTGTGATGCTCATGACAGCCTCCTCTCTTCTTTATTGCTATTATCAGAAATGCTCTGTTGACAGATCCCCAGTTCACAGTGTACACATCGATCCAACAGGTGGAGGACGGGGGAAGGGTGAGGCAGGAGCATATTGCAATGTTACTAACGCACCACTGGATTCTTCCACAGAAGCTGTCAGCCACATGTCTTTTGAGGTTCAAGTGCCCTTAGGAAACACACATGAGCTGTTGCCCAACTTGACCCAAACGTTCTGTCTGGTGAGAATTTACACACTGTATCTCAGGTTGTTTAAGCTGGGTTTTGTTTACATCTGGATCATTACATGATTGCATGGGCGAGGACAAGGATGTGGCTTCTTCCTCAGGCACCCTTACACTTAAAAATGGCTATGAAGTCTGTTGAGTAATTAATCAGCATTTTGGAGGTGAAACGGTTTGTTAAGGAAAATGACAGTGAATTATGTATTTACTATTTACTATTTACTATTTCGTATTTACACTTTATATTAACAAGTGGACCTGCCGCAGCTACGCTGCGGGGAAGGACGATGACAAAACATTTTGCGAAACACCCACACCGGATGCTGTCATCAGTTGGACCCCATCTTTGCAATGCACCCCTACTGGACGCTGCCCAACGTCGGAAAATGCGCCGGCAGTTGCAAAGTTTTCGCACGCACACACAGACACCGAAAAAAAAAAGAAAAAAAAAAGAAGTGTATATTTCCATGTTTCAGCGGTAGATGCATTCGATTTTGCTGATCCTATCGATGGAAGCACCCTCTCTCTCTCTGTCTCTCTCTCTCTGTGTACCCTCTCTCTCTCTCTCTCTCTCTCATTCTCTCTCTCTCTCTCTCTCTCTCTCTCTCTCTCTCTCTCTCTCT